AAATACAGCTGAAGAAGTCTGTAAAAATGAGTATGACATATTCTGGAGATGTCATCAAGATTAGAGCATTTGACATATTTTCACTTGCTGAAGACATCTTTCAATTTTTTCTATCTTCATCCTTCTTTTATCCTTGTCATTTTAAAAATATGTAAAAAATAAAAATAATAATAATAAATTATATATATCATACTCATTTTCTTCCTATGCTTTTTTGCTTCATCTTTTTTTGTCTTAAAAATACAAATATATATGCATTTTATTTTTCCTTTTCATCCTTTTCTTATTCTTGTTTTTTCTTCTTCATCCTTTTCTTATTATCCTTAAAAATCATCTCAGAAATATTCAAGGAAAGGTCAAAATATTTATTGTGTATAGATTTCATTTGTTTTTCTTCATCCTTTTCTTATTTCGTGTTGTTTTAAACTATTACATAAAATATGTACAAATATTTATAAAACACAAACAAATGTTTATTATAAAACAAAAATTATAAAGATGAAAAAATAAAACTAAACAGAAGAGGGAGGTGAAAATTAAACCAAATGTTATTTATTTATCAATATATTAAAAATGTATTTGTATATATTCAAGTAACATTTTTAAGTTCACTTTGAACACCATTTGTCAACTTTATTTGTATTTTTAAAGAAACAGAAATGCCCATATATTGGAAAAATATATTTCATGACGTAAGAATTACACTGCATGTTTTTTTTTGGGGGCGGGCTAAAATTTCTAGTATTTATTTTATTTATTTTTTTTGCATTAGTCTTGCCAGACTGTTGTCGTCATGAAAACGTTTTCTGCAGATCTGAGTTTTCTGGCCCAGTACCACCTTTTCTGCCATGAAAAAGTGCGAAGTGGTTCCAGATGTGTGGCTTCAGCACCATTCTAGAGAAACACACAGTCCTGCCTAGGCTGTTTAGTATGCAGCAGAAATGCTCTTGTAGGGTTGTGTAGTGTTGGACAGCTTTGGCATTGGCACCAGATTTGTAGCTCAGGGCCTGTAGGGGTTTAACTCCTTGCAAGGCTGAATTCAAATCCAGCTCTGTCCTTCCGCTCCTGCTCTGATACACTCAGGTCATTTGAGAAAACACACACCTCCCACCTTCTGAACAAACATCTGTGTAAGAGATACCAGGTTTTACTCAAGAGATACCAGGTTTTACTCAAAACAGCTGCCTCATGTGAGCAGAGCTGCTGTGCAGGTGTGAATCCGTTCACATGTGGTATATTAGCACTCTAGTTAACCAACTCACAGTTTTGTTCCTCAGACATCCTTACAACATGTCCTTACCAGACATGACAAGGTTTGACAGTGTAATGCCTTTAAATGAGCTTTTCTGAGCAGATTGTAGCTACATGTATGTTTACTTCCAAATTGTGCACTTAATTTAAGCCAAATTTTTGAATATTGTAAAAACAATTTGCGAATTCAACTGCTTTCATTGACTCAACGTGACTAATAAACACACGACTACGGCAATATACGGTTTATCTGAGTTCTTATTATTTTAATTTTCATTAAAATAAAGTATATTCATAATGCAATGCCTTCTGTGTAGTAAATTCTGCTCCATCTGAAAGCACGTGATGATGATTTACTGCTGATTACAGAACCGGCATTACTATCAAAATGTGCATGACAATCGCATTCGATTAATCGTGCAGCCCTATTAGTAAATGTGTTTTCTTTGTCGTTTATGCACTTAATGTTTCAATACAGCATGTTTAATTTTAAATCTCAAAATTTGCATGAAAACATAACCATGCTGTTGATTAATCCAATTAATTACATATGTAAAATAATAATAATAATAATAATAATAATAATAAATAAACACCAAGCTTGAATATTTAACAAAACAAAAACTAAACAGAAAGTAAAGGATAAAGAAAAGATAATAAAACTAAACAGGAACAGGGAGATGAATGTTATATAAATAATGTATTTGTATATATTTGAGTAATATCATTTTTGAATAATATTTGTCAAATTTATTTTGATGTAGCTATTTTTACAGAAAAAAGTCCATATAATGGAGAAAAATTCTTTCATAACATGTAACAATTATACTGTGAAATTATGGTGTAAACAACTTTGGTTAAAATTTAAATTTACCGGCCAGGTTTGGGGTCTTTTCTCCTCTGTGTGAGTGGTTACTGTCTTACGACAAGCAGGTAAAAGCAAACAACTTTATTTATTTGTAATTTGGCCTTGAAACTATGTTATAAGGAGGAATACAGTTTCGTGAATTACAAGGGGATTTTTGAGTAATATTTATCTGTGCTTTTGTTTTCAGACCTTTTTTTTTTTTTTTTTTTTTTTTTTTGCATTAGTCCTGTTTTCATACAGCATTTTTAATGTTATATCTCAAAATTTGCATAATTATGCAATTCATTGCATGTTACAAAAAAATATCAGAACTTGAATATTTAACAAAAATTATTCAAGAGGAAAAGGATGAAGAAAAAATGAATCTAAACTGGAATAGGGAGATGAAAATTACACAATAGATTATTTTCTTTAACAATAAATAATTTATTTGTATTTATTCAAGTAATATTTTCAGATCATTTTGAATAATATTTGTCAAATTTATTTAGCTGTTTTTTAAAAGAAAAAAAATCCATATAATGGAGAAAATATATTTTATGACATGACTAAATGTTTAATGTTGTATCTCAAAATTTGCATAAAAACACATGGATGGAAACCAGACTGTTGATTTCTATGATTTATTACATCAAAGAAAAAAATAATAATAAAAAACAAAGCTTGAATTTTTATAAATTACACAAGAAGAAAAGCATAACGAAAAATAAACTAAACCAGAAAAAAAAATTACAAATGTTATTTGTTTAATAATATAAAATTAATTTATTTGTATATATTAAAGTAACATTTTGAAAAATATTTATCAAATGTATTTAGTTTCAAGGGAGGAAAAAAGCTTTTGATTTATGCAATTAATTGCATGTTATTTAATTAATTTGATTAGTATGAATAGATTGACAGCCCTCATTTTAACCTTAATGAAAACATTAATGGACATGTTATTTGTCAAAGTTACCAGACAGAAGCGAGATATTAAGTCAAAATGAGCCATTTTGTCTCTACAGAACCCAATGCATCTTTAGAGAGAGAGAGCGAGATCCGATCCAATTACTGTTTAACACAAAGTCACACTCCAGGAGTGTGTAAATGACAACAGTGCTGTAAAGCTATTTCAACACTTATCAGCTCTGGCCAGCTGTGTGATTTAATTGTGTCTGTGTGTGATAAACGTGCCATCAGGGGCTTTTGTTTGATGTTTTTCTTAACTGATGCCTAGAACAATATGAAGCTGAAATCACTCGTGTTCGCACCTCCAGTGTTGTGAATCCACTGCTCTTTAATGTCACGTCTGATTTTGCATGTAGATTCTGTATTCTTTTGGATTTCTTAAAAAGCACAGAGGCTGACACTATGTTTTGTACACAGCCATCTGCTTTGATCATTTCCTTTCATTTTCAGCCAAGTCAGTAGAATTGTTGATGTTGGTGACACTAAGTTGATTAAAAGTTGTGGCAAAAATCTCAAGAAGAGTGAAGTGAGTTCTGAGAAAATCTCATCTGACTCCACAAATCATACTTTGTTGGATCATTGATCATAGTAAGATTTTATTTAATTTTTTCAAAGAAATTAGGACTTGTATTCAGCAAATGTTAAATTTCAAATAAATGCTGCTCTTTTGAACTTTCTGTTCATCAAAGAATTCTGAAAAAAAATTCAAGTTTCCACAAAAACATTAAACTGTTGATTTTAATATTGATAATAATAATAAATTAATAAGTTAATAAGTTTCTTGAGCAGCAAATCAGCATATTATAATGATTTCTGAAGGATCATGTGACACTGAAGACTGGACTAATGATACTGAAAATTCAGCTTTGCATCACAGGAATAAATTACATTTTAAAATGCATTCAAATAGAAAACAGTTATTTTAAATTGTAATAATATTTCACTCTTTTAACTGTATTTTACTGTACTAATATATATATATATATATATGTGTGTGTGTGTGTGTGTGTACACAGTACAAAATGCTCTACTGTCTTTGACCTTATTGAATAATATTAATAAATGATGCAGTCAGTGCAGTTTCATTGTGAAACTTGTCCTCAGTTCAGTTGAAGTTCCTTATTCTGGCATCCAAAATCTCTGAATGGCTCTGAATGCGTGTTCATGCCAGAAGTCTCCGGCTGTTGTTTTGCAGGCTGCCCACTCATGCTGCTATCTGGCTAATGGCTACATTATCATATAGCCTGCATGGCCTCAGCGACTCTCAGAGGAAGAGCAATTTATTTTATTTTTGATGAAATACTACATAGATTAAAACTATTTTGAAATAACGAACACCAAAAAAAATCATTCACAATAAGATGAAAATGAAAATGTACTCACCCTCAGGCCATCCAAGATATGTATTTAGAACTGTCAATTACTTATTAAATCAAAAACATTTAAAAATGTAACATTTAAAATGTATATTTTACTAAATACAACACTCAACGCTTGTTTTTACTTCACCCTTAATGTATAAACATACTTTCAATATTTTAAGCCTACATACTACTGGTCACAAATGTGCAACAGACCAGTGGCTCAACCTTTTTGACTCCAAGGACCCCCATTGTCCACAACAGTATTCAAGGCCCCATGATCTTTCCAGTTGTTTGTGATTTACTGGATAAGGATATGGATATTTAAAAATATTTGTACTCATTTTCTAACAAATAAAATATTATAGAGTTTGACATAACTAGAAATATTTATATTGATTTTCATTATTAGAGTTGTATAATTAAATGTATATTTAAATTAATTTGCCTTCTGGTTCATAAATTCCATTGCAGTAGTTATATTTTGCAGTAAAAACAATGAGCCTTAGTGCTTGAGATGGATAACACCTGAGACACGGCTGGAGCCAAAAACTGCAGACTGACCTGTGTGTGAATTTAATAAACAGACAAAATCTTACCCAGGGAGAACCACGTGTGTAGTTCCAACAGGTACAATCTCCATGGACTTTCCCCAAAACTTATTCCTCCACCTCACGTCTAAAATCAGTCACGCATAACACACTCAGCTTCATATCTACAGACAACATTAGCTTATTTGTATTGACACAATAAGCCTGGTATTATTAGTGTGCTGTTACCTTGCCAAAAGATGAAGTTTTTAGATTCGGCATGACATGCAGAAATGGGGGGGTGATGGCTGACCTGGAGGATGAAAGCAGAGCAGCTGTGAGAGCTGTACACACACATTCACATATCTGCTCACAATTACAGCTTACAGAGAGCGTCCTACCTGCTCCGCCACAAAACAAAAGCCTTTGTCTGGACGATCACACTCGTAGGTCTCACCCAACACTGGATTAAAGGGTTTTCCTCCTGCTCTGTAGTAACTGGAAGCATAGCCGGACACAGCAAATGTAGCGATGTACACCTACAAACAGAACACAGCACATTTAGTTAGTTTTGTATGTTGCCCATTTCATGATACTCCTTATTAAAGGGATAGTGAGTTCACCCCAAAATGAAAATCTGCTGAAAACGTACTCAGCCTCAGGCCATCCAAGATGTACAGTAAATGAATTTGTTTCCACATCGGAACAGATTTGGTGAAATTTAGCATTACATCACTTGCTCACCAATGGAAACTCTGCAGTGAATGGGTGCCATCAGAATGAGAGTCCAAACAACTGATAAAAACCATCACAATAATCCACAAGTAATCCACACCACTCCAGACCATCAATTAACGACTTAAATGAAAAGCTGCATGTTTGTAAGAAACAAATAAATCAATAAGATGTTTTTAACTTCATGGAGTCCTCTATCCATAATATTGCTTTCTCAAGTGAAAAAATCTTCTCGTCTGAATCAGGAGAGAAATATGCACAGATCAAGCAAGGTTTACAAGCAAAAACAGCAAATATGTCAGTGGATTTTGATGTAAAAGGACATTTTGATATTATAGGAGTTTTTCACTAGAGGAAGAGTTATTGTGGATTATGGACTCATATTTCAGCCAGAATCGACAGTTCAGTGTGTAAACGCCTTAACGATGGATTTGTTGCAAACACGCAGCTTTCCACTTCACAAGACATTAACTGATGGACTGGAGTGGTGTGGATTATTGTGATGTTTTTATCAGCTGTTTGGATTCTCATTCTGACGGCACCCATTCAATGAAAATGATCCATTGCTGAGCAAGTGATGTAATGCTACATTTTTCCAAATCTGATGAAAAAAAACAAATTCATCTACATCTTGGATGACCTGAGGATGAGTACATTTTCAGCAAATTTTAATTTTTGGTTGAATTTTTCCTTTAATATAAAGGCAAAAATGCAAACAGTTTTATGAGATGATTCGGTTTAGAGATAGAACTTGATTCGCTCAGTATAAACAATATAATCAATGATAAAAGTATAAAACAGCCACGTGTCCGTAAACTGTGGCGTTTCAGTCCACTTTGTGTTTACCTGTGCACTTCTACTTTTTTTGCCATTCTTTTTCTTTCTTTTTGTCTTCTTTCTTTCTCATATTAGGCGCTTTTCCACTGCGTGGTATGACTCGGCTCGGCACAGCTCAGTACGGCACGGCACGGCTCGGCTCAGCTCGGTTTGCGTTTCCACTGCAGTTTAGTATCGCTTTAGAGTGGGCGGGATTATTCACATGTCGTTATAGTTGTGCCACCTCTACTGCCGCGACTCCTGAAAAACTTTCATTCCGCGTCGCCCCATCAATCTCTCGCTGGATCCGCTCCTCGGCTATCAACGAGAGAAACAGACAACGAAACAGCTACTTTTTGGTTGTTAAAAAAAGGTGCGCTCGTTCAAAACAGTTGTGTTCGATCCTTTGCTGACTGTGCTGATTTAAATCTAGCGGTTCTGTTGCATTTGTGTTGCAAGTTCAGTGACGCAAGTAGTGACGATTCTCTCCAGCCAATCCGTGATCAGCAGAGTTTACATGTCACGTTTTGGTAACGGTACGGTTCACTTGGAACCTCAACCGAGGTGGTACTAAAACAAGTACCAGGTACTGTACCCAGTGGAAAACCCCCCAAAAGTGAACCGTACCGTGCCGTACCATGCAGTGGAAAAGCGCCAATTGTTGAATGCAGTACTTGGACACCTTAACAGAAGACACACACACACACACTCTCTCTTGGGTCCATCTGTTTTGTCCAGCAATGCCAGATCTCCCCTCCTCTCTCCATCTTTCTACTTCTCTTTTTCTTTCTTTTCCTCTGTAAACTACACATATCGTCGTCTGATCTCTCAATATTACTGTGCTCTTTCATGCACCTCTGACCTCTCTTTATCACGGCCCGTGCGGGTTTGACCTGTGGAGCAGATCGAGGTCACAACTTCCACCATCATTTTGCCTTTCATTTAGTCTCTGGACCACCGCCGGAGTCTCTCTCACACATACACACGCTTCACAGCCAGAAAGTGTGTTTGTGTGTCTGTGAGCTTGTCGTGACTTTTTTTTGTTAGCATCTACGAAGTTAGTCCAGACATCCCACTGTGATGATGTAAGAGAGTGACTCATGCATGACAAAACATAGAAACACAGGTGGTGTTGTGCGTGTGTGTTTATGTGTGTATATGAGAATGTATTAAAGGTGAGGTGTGAATTTTTGAGCCACTAGTGGCACCAAATGGAATTGCAAAAAGTTGTGTTTCCAAACAGGTTTCCTAAACCCAAAAAACTGCCATTGGAGTTATTTCTTTTGAAATAATCACTGGATTTCCCAGGTTGGTAGAATTAAATCTTTGAAATATACTCAAAGTTTGGTTTGACACATTTTGCAAGTTAACTAGATATCCTTGAGCAGAACTGAATATTCTGTTATATCTATGTACATTTTTGTGTACAGAAAGTATGATTACAAAGTTTACACATATTTATGCTAATTTCTTTCAGCCTGTTAGTTAGATATCAACTATTTTTTATAGACATGCCCCTAAGCAGCACAGAAAAACAAAATGAACTGTGGTTGATCCCTATAAGTCAGCAGTGTTATTTTAATATTATTAAAGTATAATTATAGTATTTATTATTTTGAATTAGCTTTTATTTTTATATTTTCAGTTTTAATGTTAATTTTAATTTAAGTTTTAGTCATTTTTTGTTACATGTGTTTGTCATTTCTATTTAGCTTTTATTTATATCTATTTCAGTTTTAGTTTAATTCATTTTAGAACATACAATTATTGTATTATTATTCCGTTTCAAATTCAACTTTATTATTTGAATTTAGTGTTCAAATTTAATACTGTGTATGTAATTAAGATCCTTGAAAAAAAACATACATACATACATACATACATACATACATACCTGTCATGACAACTCTCGGAGGGATTGGCATGGTAATGTATATGACAATGTTAATGTATTTGGTCTTGGCGGAATAGATCTGCTACGCTGCTGCTGCTGCGGCAGAGCAAGTACTGAGACTTGCTACTGCCAATACATCCACAACATGCTGCTGTGAGCATGTAAGAAATATTGCTGCTGCAAATATAACATACATGAAATAACCCCCATATAGCGTACATGAATCACCTCATTGCAGATCTATACAGGTGGAGCTGGGAAAGGTGGAGGGTTTCTGAAGCAAGCTGCAACTGCTACTGCCAGTACTAATCATATATTTGAATGTTGAGCAGCGAGCTCATTGGCTACCGATACAGGAGAGAACCAGTCAGCTGTGCCATGTGATAATGATGTCATTAGGTCAGATTGAGTTAGACCTATCGGACTGCGCCATCTAGAGTTTCATGCCAGACCTCTGTATTTC